GTTGTCCCAGATCGAAGGCAGTCAGAGGAATTGCCTCTTATTCTGAGGATGATCATTTTTTTATCTTATTAAACTGATTGGATGAGGCCCACCCACATTAGGGAAGGGGCAGTACACTTTATTCAGTGTATGTATTTAACTGTTAACTCGTCCAGAACATCCTCACAGAAACACCCCAAATAACGTTTGACCAAATAAAGTTGATGTATAAAATTAAACTTCACAACCAAATTCTGAGGTTATGGTTGAACATGAATTTTAGAGAGATGCTGTTATAAGTTATTATTTTAAAAGCCTCTCTCTGAAAGATGTTAAAAGGAATGTTGTTATAATTTTTACTTTAAAATGTTTGCTTTGCCTTTTCTATGAAAAACTGCAGATAAAGATGAGAGCAAGAATGAAATCAAAAGAAGCCAAAAGCCTGTTGAATGTAGATGAGAGCTTATGACAGCTTGAAGTAGGTTATAACAGAGGGTTGAAAAAGTGAAGTTGGAAGTGACCATATTTATCATACCTGATACTTTTTTCAAGTTATTGCCCTGCCCCCATTTTTACTTGAATTTTCCTAGTAGCTCATTTCCTCATTTAGATATATTATTTTGCATCTTTATCAGCTGTTAGTAATCTTATCTCCAATGCACATTCCTTAGATTAAGATTTTATTTCTTTTATTGTTTTCTAAAACACTACAGAAAATCCATAAATGAGCTTGTTTTATGACCTTTGCAACAAATGTACTTGGCCATGATCCTTCTGCTTTTTACTCCCAAAGAGAGAAAAGCATTAACATGGAAGTGGGTAGACAGGGATGTCAGACACGATTGGCGATTTGGAACAATTTTAAATATCCTATTTAAATTAGCCCTAGGGTCAGAGCATATATCTCATCTTGGGAGGGTGCACACATCCGTTTCATACTCGGGGAGCTGTAATAGTAGCCATGGCCTCTCTGGGTAGATCTCTAATGAATGGAGCACATCTATTTTAGATGGATAATCAATTTTGAAATCCCTTGTTGTAGGTAAGCTGTTAACACAGAAATGTTAACTTCACTAGTTTAATGAGTAGCTTCAATGATAGCTTAGTGACAGAGATGGAAAGAAAGTCAGGTGGGGGGCAGTGAGAAAGAGTAGAATGAGGGTTTAATGAATATCCACTTGCAGACTTGAATGTCAGCAGCAACATTCTCTCTCCTGGAAAATGTCTTTCAACTGCATATCCTATTACTATTCCTGCAGCCCATAGTAGCTTGGAGAATCAGGCAGAGTGTGTTTGTAAGAAAGCTCTCCTTTGCAACATAATGAGATCGAGGTGGGTAATTTGCAGAGATTGCTAGAGCAGTGGTCAAATCTGCAAAAAAACACAGCAGAATGAAGAGACATGTTAAACAGGAGATGGCTTATAATGAGCCCAGAAATTGCATATCATACAGCCAGCTGGCTAGTACTTTTTCATATCTTTGTCTTCTCATGCAAACTGTTAAACTCTTTCTCCTATTCTTATTTTCTCAGTCTCTCTATACTTCTCATTTCTACCTAGTATATTGAAAATATGAACGAATTTGGCAGCTCTGCTACTTGAAGAAATAAGAATGAAGGCTTTTTCATTATTCAGTGCAAGCATTTGCCTAAAAATGGGTATATGATATTACTTCAGATACTTTTTATGCCTTTATTTGTCACATTTTTAAAACACATCTTTTAAAAATGTTTCCTTTTCAAGCCTCAGTTTGACTCCTAGCCTTTTCTGAATTCTGTGGCCACTTTTGCTATACGGTTTGGATAGAGTTTGCCTTCTCCCTTCAAGCAAGAAAAATGGAAGACCCCATCTCTTAGTAGAAATTGACTGGGGAAATACAGAAAGTTGAAGTCAACTTTATTTCATCAAGTGGTTCAGTGGTCAGGTCATCACCAACTGTCTGTTTTCCTAGACCTTTACCTCTGGTGTCTGTCTCTTTTTCTATAACATGAGAAAGCATATGTTACGTTATTCATTTACAGACATGCATTTAGGGATTGCATGTCTGTAAATGAATAACGTAACATATTTGAAACAATGAAAAGCTGTTTCTAAACACTTATTCCATTTTTGTAGTATAATCCGTCATTGCCCATGGTGATTTGGGGTATTCATGGAATTTCTGACTTGGAAAAATGTTACTGCTATCAAATATTTGCAGCTGTATTTAGATACAGACTTAGATTAGGCATACATGACCAAGGCTCTTCTGAGCCTTTTGGATAGCAAGGCCTCAGGGATGTGATGCATGTCATGAGCTATCAGTGAAACCAACTCTTGCCCTGTTGCTGATCTCAGATTTGTTACATGTATCTGATGGTAGAAATCCTGTTAGTGACCAGGAGTGGTGTCCTACTGAATACAAGGCTGTAGTCAGATTCTTGGAAATGTGGACCTGGACAAAGGGAAATCTCTTTATTTCAGAGATGTCATTTCTGTTCAAGTTCTGCTGCTATGATTGAAAGGTGCTGGTAATTGGCCAAGAAAAATATGGTGGAAAAGGGAGTAAGAGAGGAGGAAACGTCAATGCCATGGGCATTTGGCAAAGTAGGTTAGAAGACTTTTCCTACAAAGTTTTCTTCCAGGTCCAGAAATCACAACTTTATGTCACAAATCTTTTCCTATTTAAAAATAAATAAATGAATAAGTGAGTACCATGGACTTTAAGGTTCTGTATGCTTTCTAGTAAATGCTGAAACTCCAGTGGACCTTTAATGTACGTGAGGAACTAGTGTCTCTGTTTCTTCGTGTGTCTATGTTTGTGTGTGCCTGTGTGTGGGGTGTTATAAGGCAGGGTCCTTAAATGCTTTGTTGCATTATGTTAATTCCTCGGCAGTGCAATCAAATTCATGTCGTAATTAAAGCTGTCAGTTGGAAGGCAAGCCAATCGCCGCAAAAACACAGCATAACAAATGAAGTGAAATGATTCTGCGTGTAGCTATACAATGCTTCACCAGGCATGAAATTAAATAAGTAATTTGATGTTGACATCAGAAATTGAAATGATACCCACTGTTCTCTCATTCAGTCAGACCTGCATAAACAATAGCCAGAACAAATATGCACAACAAAGCCCTCTTCTCCACCCAGCTCCCTGAGTAATATACAATATATATGCAAAATGAGTATAACAGAGCTTTCCAAGACCTGAAGGATGTAATTTTCTTTGGTATACAATAAGATGATATGTATGTGGGGGTGGGGAGGTGGGTTTGGAGGGTTACTTCTTCTTCTGAGATAAAATACATTTGTAAGAAGGAAAAAAAAAATCCTGAAATAAACAAATTCCATGTTTTCTCTGAGTAATTCATCCTAAAATGCTTTTACCTCCCAGGGGCATGACTCCAGGCTGGTGGAGACCTAATATGGTTATTGCTTTCCTCTGCTCCAGGGAGGGCTGTGGGTGCTGCAAACAGGTGATGCTGTCACATGGCTAATCACTGCTGTGAGAAGCTGTCTCCATGACTACTGTGGCTCTCCCTGCGTACCATTTATGAGATCAAGAATGCAGCAGGATTTTTTTAAAACCAAGTCCAGTGTGCAAGATCACACATCTACAGTCCTTTATTCCCCTGAGCTTGTCGAAACACTGAGGCGAAGAAAGTTTTGCTTTGAGAACTGCATTTAGGAATGCCCTGGAGCATATTACCCTTACTTGATGTGAATGCTGTTTCTACTTTCAGCACTGTATTTCCTTCTCAGAAACAGTTTAAAATCAAGAAGAATCACATTTACTGTATTTTTGGAGATATTAAATTTGCCCAAGGCTTTTCCCTCTAGTACATCCATTTATTCATTTATATATACATTAATTCAACAAATACTTATTAAATGCATCCTGAATGCCAGGCATTGCGCTAAGCTCTGGGGAAGCAATGATGAGTAAACCCGATGATTCTTGCCACCTGTAGACAGAGAAGGGACAGGAAATTTAGGTGGAAGAGCTAGAGGTGAACTGAGTAACTATTGCATCAGAGTGGAAGTCAGGCCATGCCAGGGAAGGCGTAACACCTGACCCAAGCTAGTCAGGGAGGAGGCCTGGCTTGTGCGAGGACACTCAGCCGAGACCTAAAGACCGGGTCAGCATTAGCATTCCATTTGTTTCAAGCTTATTTGGGATCTCTACTGTTCACAAAGAGGACACTAAAAATTAAGGAAATTGTAATGAGATGTTTTAGGAAAAAAAGAAGCAAACATACAAACAAGAAAGAATCACAGGCAAGTTTAAAACAAACCAAGTCCTTTTTTTTGCCTCCTTCTCCAAAGAAAGGATACCCTGCATACTGTTCAGAATTACTCTTTTTAAATCTCCATGTGTCAGAGCTGTGGAAGCCTAGATTGATAATTCTTGGGACTAAAACCTTGAGAAAAATGGTGCTTTTCACTGCTTCCCTTCACCCACACATTCTTTGCATTTTAGTCTACTAATTATGTTTACAAAATGTCTCATTTTTGAAAAGCGCTCTGTGTGTACTAACTGGTGCCTTTAGGGAATAAACTGGCAAGTAGGTCATACACTGGAAAAGTCATCCAAACCCACTGGGCTTTTTATTTCAAGTCAGTCTGGGCTTTTTCCTCTTGCCTGCCCCTTTGCGGCCACAAAACTGAGTAGCTTGAGACCAGGGCATTGAATGTCAGCAAGTCAGGGAGGCAGGCTGATGTGTGTCTGTTTAGTCTCAGTGCAGGGCGAAATGCCATCATTAATTCATTACCCAGCTGCCTGTCAAATAAATTGGCAATTACGTCCACCACAGAAGCTTGGAATTCAGTAAATAGCACGTTAGCATCTCTGAGTTGTTGAGAGATGTAAAGGGGAAAATTAAGCAATACGGTGTATCAGGAGCAGATGACAAGGGGCAGCATACACTGGTGATGTGATGTAGTGATGAAAAGCCTGCAAAGGGCTGGTAATGAGCTGTGTGGATTGGAACGTGTTAAAAACCATTGCTGATTTTCCACTTTGTCTTTATGCTTTATTGCAGAGTTCAGCTCCTTCCAGCTTGGGAACAGGCTACTTCGTAAGTTTATCTCAACTTCCACATGTGTGCCTTGCCTTGGCATTGATTTACTTCCATAATGTATGCTCATTAGGATATGAAAAAAAAATCTAAGAAATAACCTCTCAGCCCTAAAGAGCAGGCCGATATCCATCCTTTTATTAAGAATTGTTTTATTTAAAAAAAAAAAAAATTAACTTGCCAGGCCCTGGGGATCATCAGTCAGTCTGAGATATCTTTCTGGTTCTGAGCAGAAAGGACATTTGCCCCTTACCTGGCAGCATAAAGGGATATAGGGAAACCTGATTGGCTCATGCCACTTTTTCTGCATAATTGTTTTTTAGTGAGAAGTGTCATGTGGTGGGTGGAATTCACATTATGTATTGAGGCATTTATTCACTTTTAAATCTCTTGAAGAACTTCCCAACATATGCAATGAATCGTTTTCTATTTTTAATTTTGATGAGAAGTGCTGTTTTAATGGATGTTTTCCTTCACAGTCTGAGTAGGTGGCATTTAGATTTCATTTCAGCAATTATTAAATTCCTTGTTTTAGCAAATATAGTTGTATTATTTTATTTCTAGACATTTCTCTGTCCTTTGGGAGGGGTGGGGATAGTGACAAACCTTAGAGATTATCATAGTATTTCTCATAGAGAAATAGTCACTTCATTTCTATTACTTATAGCAAAATTACCCTTTTTGGATTCAATCATCTTTTTAAAGATAGAAATAGAAAAGAATTACAAATAGGTATTATTTACACAATGGAATAACATACCAGTGTAGAGGTTTGTTGTGTATTTAAAGGAATGTGATTTGTGTTCTGAATGATGAACAGTGATACTCTAATGCCTGCTCAGCATTTTCTGAGAAAATAATGAAATCATGAAAAAATAAAGTAGAAAATAATTAGTAATTCAGTTTAGTTGCCTTTAAATATCTTTTCTCTAAAATGCTAATTACTCCAATTTTCTTTGCCTTCACTTTTCTCTCCATACACTTACATTAAATATATGAAAACTAGCATCATTTCATTGAATAAAAAGTCTTTTTCAAGCTTTGCACAAGTGGCATTTTCTAAATGTTGATTTTTATCTTACTCTATGATGGGAGAAAAAGGATAAAGATTTTTTTGGTACCTGCTTAATACAATCAGCACACTTACCCTTGCTTCTTATTGTGGCTGAATATGCATGCTTGCAGAAACAAGCAAGTTGCTTCAGCAGTCGAAATAATAGAAATAATCCCATCTGCCCTCTTTTCACACCAGGCTGGATGTGGGTTGAGATGCTCCAAGTAAAATCTGGAGACTGCCAATATCTCTTCTTTTTCCAAAAGCTAAATTCTCTCTCTGTGCTTTCTTCAGCAGAACAAGGCCAAAGCCACTAATCTAGCCCTTGATCACTTCTAGACTAAACATTCTATTATTTTTTAATATCAGTATGATCACCCTGAAAAAAGAAAGTCATGTCTAGAAACATCCAGAATTTTATCATGCTTTTTGTCACTTCTTTTCTCTCCAGTTCTAGGAAAGTTTATTTTTATTCTCTAACAATATATTATTATGAGTAAAGAGTCTGCAATCATGAATCTAAAATAATTCTCACGCAATACCATTGGACGAGTATGAAACTTTTTCCTTATTTTGTAAGATTGTTCATGTTATTACTTTGCTTATATAAAAACATTTGTAGTATTATTAACTTACATGGAGAAGATACATACCAGATGTATGTTCAGCTCTCAACCATGTCAAAAATACTCTACTTAGAATGCGTTTCCAATAATGGGATTATTATGTTATCAGTGTGCAAAAACCATTAATATTATTGCGAAGACCTCATCAAAAAGTCTTCTGTTTCAGTTTTCATTCTAATACTATCATATGTAATAATTTTAAGTACTAACTTCAACATTGGTGAGCTTCATACTTGTAAGTGGAAATAGTATGTATATTCATAACTTACGGTAGTTTCGTGGCAACATTTTATTTGCACTGTGCTTTATGATCTGTGATGTCATAATAGTCTTTGCCCATGTCTATAATATAGGATTAGCATCAGGTAAGTAGAATGGTGATACTATTACTCTATCCTTAATCCTTTTCAGTATCTCTTTGAAGTGTGGACTGAGGCAAATCACCTGCAGAGTCAATGAGCTATTAATGCAATTGAACTGTAATGTGAATTCTGCTATAAGAAAACTGAAGGCACTCACCTATTGGGTTTAACAACATGGAACTGTTTTCTTAAATACTCTCCCATGACCCAACATGACTCTAACTTCAGAGTCTCTTTTCATTTAGACTTTTAAGCTCCTGTAGAACCTTTGGTGAACTCAGGTAAAATGCTGATTATTGTATGTGCTAATAAAATAGACACCCGCTCAAGTATATGCACATACGTGTGTATGTGCGCGCACGCGCGTGCACGCACACACACACACACATTAAATCTTATCCACAGCCAGTATTCTTGGTTTATCAGTAGTGGTAAGTTAAAGGGTTTGAAGAAGAAACCTTTGTTTTCGATTTAGTTGAATTTGTTTATATCTCCTTGGTTTTGTGTTCCAAAGATGTCTGCTTAGGTCTGTCACTTTTCCAATCCCTTTATAAGCTGAAGACTTGAGAAATGAGAACAGCAGCTAAAATCAGTATTTACATAAGCATATTGCAGAGAATTCTTAAAGTAGACAAAATAGAGAATGATTGGAACAAACTTTTCACATTTTGGGGAGCTTTTGAATAATGTAGGTGTTATACACACAGAGATACACACACATATATATTCATTACATACTCATGCTGAACTCATATTCTAAATATAAATATAAGTATAGACTAGTTGGAATCTATTTGCCTTTTTTTTTGGCAAGAGTACCAAAGTGTGTTGGAGTATGTAGGGTTTTACTTTCTTAAAAAATGATAATGTTGTGGTAACTCATTTTCTTTTCAATTTAAATGTTTATGGCTATATTCTCTTCTTATACATGTATTTGAAGTTTTATTACATGAAGAGAATAATCAGCTTAGAGGCAGACTGATTTTAAGATAAGTGGTGTGAACTTGAGCAAGGTCTTTAATATCTGAATCTCTTTCATTGTACCTACCTAATAGAGTTGTGAATATTAAATGAGGTAAGATATTTAATGTACATAGAACAATAATAGCAAGTAATAAATGTTGTCTTCTGTTATTCTCACTATACTGTGTGATGGGGGAAAAAAAAAACAACTTTGTCTCATTAAATGGCTTGCAATGTTATGGTAATAGAGAATACCCACGAGAAAGTAATGATATAAAACTAAGTTTTGTAATATGTCACTACAGGATAGGAATATTATATTCTCATTACAGTCTTCTTGTAGCTTTCTCAGGAGCCTAGGACTTTGCGTTTGGTCAGTCTATACCAATTTACTCTATGTAAATATAAAACAAATATAGAATTCATCCTCTAGGATCCTCTGTGATTATGATGTTGTAATGAACTATTCTATAGGCTGTATTCTATAATGAACCTTATAGAAGGTTGTTTAATTTGTCTATTAAAGTTATTTGTTTATTTAATTCCTCAGACTTGAAGCATTTAAAAATGGCTAATAGCTTTTAGGGTTGGAGTGGGAGGTTAAGATATACCTGTTCCACCTATTCAAATTTTATGAGGTTGTGTCACATTTTTGCTGTTCCTTGACAACAAAAAAAATGGATGCCTCACTGAAGTAACTGAAAGCAGTAGAATGAAAAGACCAGTGAAAACATCTCATGGTTGCCAGTGGTCTGTTTGTCATCACAGGAAAGGTCTGGATTTCTTTACAAGCTCTTGACTCCATATGCCAGTAGCTGGTATCTACTGTTGGTGTATGGGTGAGTGACTTGTCAGTGAGTGACTTGATCCCTGATGTAAAGGAGAAGCCTTCCTTTATTCAGGTGACATGTTCTGCTTTCTTCTCTGGAGTTTCAGTATAAGTGTCTTAGGCCCAGAGTCTCAAATAGCTTGGATCCTGCTTTTGTAAACTCTATTGATCCAGAGATTTTTCTTAATGGTTCTCGACTAAAAATTTTCATCCTCTTCAGATGGATCACATCTAGTAATGTACATACTTTAAGATTGTCAAGGAAACCAACCTACTTCTGCCTAGTGATTAAAACTACCACAGTATATAATAAAGGGGAATTGTGTAGTGGTACACATCTTAAAATGGGATTTGTATAATTACTGTTTTCCTATGCAGTTGAATTACTTAAGAAGTTGTGTTGATGGTGCTGGTAACAGGCAATAGATGTCAAATAGTGACATGTGACTTTCCATCAGAGTTATAAGGTCATAAAGGGCTTAAATTCTTTTTCCTGATCTAAGTTTGACTATAGACCTTTAGAATAGCTCCAGTTTTTCTTTGCTGTAATTTGTATAACTCTCAAAACTGATTTGTGATATTTTACATAACCGTAGTTGCTTCTTTTTAAATCTCAGAGTGAATTTTATTGTTAGGTGAGTCTCTTACTTCTGAATTTTTGTATTTCAATGACTGTTAAGTACCTTCTCTGTCAGGTACTGTTCTAGGTGATGGATTAGCCATGGCCCCTCTTTCAAGGAATTTAGTCTTCCCTAAACCCACATCTTTTCCTTCTTTTATGAGGTTTTTAAATATTTTTGACACATTGTATTTAAATATCGCTATAGGTTTTTTTTTTTTTTAAGTTTCAAGTGTACATTACATTGATTAGACATTTATATAGTTTATAAAACAATCCCCTAGTTGCTCTTTCTTTCCTCTGGCTCTACACCTAGCCATTACATTAATGCTGACTGCATTCTCTATGCTGTGCTGCCTATCCCTATGACCATCTATCAACTACTAATTTGTACTTCTTTAACCCTTCACCCCTTCCAGTCCCCCAACACCCGTCCCCTCTGGCTGTCACCAGATTGTCCTCTATATTTGTGAGTCTGTTTTCAATTAGTTTGTTCTTTTTGTTCCTTAGATTCCTCATATAAGTGAAATCATATATTTATCTTTCTCTGTCTGACTTATTTCACTCAGCCTAATAACCTCTAGGTCCATCCATGTTGTTGCAAATGGTAGGATTTCATTTTTTTAATGGCTGAATAATATTCTCTTGTATATATGAACCATAACTTCTTTA